ACATACTCCCCACAGACCCTATACACCCACTCCCCAAGACCCTGACACACTCCCCACAGACCCTATACACCCGCTCCCCAAGACTCCTACACATACTCCCCACAGACCCTATACACCCACTCCCCAAAACTCCTACACATACTCCCCACAGACCCTATACACCGACTCCCCAGGACTCTTACACATACTCCCCACAGACCCTATACACCCACTCCCCAAGATTCCTACACATACTCCCCACAGACCCTATATACCCCTCCCCAAGACTCCTACACATACTCCCCACAGACCCTATATACCCCTCCCCAAGACTCCTACACATACTCCCCACAGACCCTATACACCCACTCCCCAAGACTCCTACACATACTCCCCACAGACCCTATACACCCACTCCCCAAGACTCCTACACATACTCCCCACAGACCCTATATACCCACTCCCCAAGACCCTGACACATACTCCCCACAGACCCTATACACCCACTCCCCAAGACTCCTACGAAGACTCCCAACAGACACTATACACCCGATCCCCAAGACTCCTACACATACTCCCCACAGACCCTGTACACCGACTCCCCAAGACCCTGACACATACTCCCCACAGACGCTATACACCCGCTCCCCAAGACTCCTACACATACTCCCCACAGACCCTATACACCCGCTCCCAAAGACTCCTACAAATACTCCCCACAGATCCTATACACCCACTCCCCAAGATTCCTACACATACTCCTCACAGACCCTATATACCCCTCCCCAAGACTCCTACACATACTCCCCACAGACCCTATATACCCCTCCCCAAGATTCCTACACATACTCCCCACAGACCCTGTACACCCACTCCCCAAGACCCTGACACACTCCCCACAGACCCTATACACCCGCTCCCCAAGACTCCTACACATACTCCCCACAGACCCTATACACCCACTCCCCAAAACTCCTACACATACTCCCCACAGACCCTATACACCCACTCCCCAAGACTCCTACACATACTTCCCCACAGACCCTATATACCCTCCCCAAGACTCCTACACATACTCCCCACAGATCCTATACACCCGCTTCCCAAGACTCCTACACATACTCCCCACAGACCCTGTACACCCGCTCCCCAAGACTCCTACACATACTCCCCACAGACCCTATACACCCACTCCCCAAGATTCCTACACAAACTCCCCACAGACCCTATATACCCTCCCCAAGACCTTACACATACTCCCCACAGACCCTATATATTTCTCCCCAAGACTCCTACACATACTTCCCCACAGACCCTATACACCATCCCCAAGACTCCTACACATACTCCCCCACAGACCCTGTACACCCGCCTCCCAAGACTCCTACACATACTCCCCACAGACCCTATACACCCACTCCCCAAGATTCCTACACAAACTCCCCACAGACCCTATATACCCCTCCCCAAGACTCCTACACATACTCCCCACAGACCCTATACACCCGATCCCCAAGACTCCTACACATACTTCCCCACAGACCCTGTACACCCACTCCCCAAGACCCTGACACATACTCCCCACAGACCCTATACACCCACTCCCCAAGACTCTTACACATACTCCCCACAGACCCTATACACCCACTCCCCAAGACTCCTACACATACTCCCCACAGATCCTATACACCCAATCCCCAAGACTCCTACACATACTCCCCACAGACCCTGTACACCCACTCCCCAAGACCCTGGACACATTCCCACAGACCCTATACACCCAATCCCCAAGACTCCTACACATACTCCCCCACAGACCCTATACACCCACTCCCCAAGACTCTACACATACTCCCCCACAGACCCTATACATCCCTCCCCAAGATTCCTACACATACCCCCACAGACCCTATATACCTACTCCCCAAGACTCCTACACATACTCCCCACAGACCCTATACACCCTCCCCAAGATTCCTACACATACCCCCACAGACCCTATACACCCAATTCCTAAGATTCCTACACATACATGCCCCCACAGACCCTATACACCCACTCTTCATGATTCCTACACATACTCCCCACAGACACCCTGGGTCCCTTGTACACGGCTCTCCCCACAGACCCTATACACCCTCCCCAAGACTCCCATACACATACTCCCCCAGAGACCCTATTCACCACCCCCCCAAGATTCCTACACATACTCCCCACAGACCCTATACACCCACTTCCCCATGATTCCTTGCACATACTTCCACAGACCCTGTACACTGCCTCCCACAGACCCTATACACCCCTCCCCAAGACTCCTACACATACTCCCCACAGACCCTATATACCCCTCCCCAAGACTCCTACACATACTCCCACAGACCCTATATACCCTCCCCAAGACTCCACACATACTCCCCACAGACCCTATACACCCACTTCCCAAGACTCCTACACATACTCCCCACAGACCCTATACACCCACTCCCAAGACTCCTACACATACTCCCACAGACCCTATATACCCTCCCCAAGACCCTGACACATACTCCCCACAGACCCTATACACCCACTCCCCAAGACTCCTAACTTAAGACTCCCAACAGACACTATACACCCATCCCCCAAGACTCCTACACATACTCCCCACAGACCCTGTACACCGACTTCCCAAGACCCTGGACACATACCTCCCCCACAGACGCTTATACACCCGGCCCCAAGACTACACATACTCCCCACAGACCCTATACACCAAGCCTCCCAAAGACTTCTACAAATACTCCCCACAGATCCTATACACCTACTCCCCAAGATTCCTACACATACTACCTCACAGACCCTATATACTTCTCCCCAAGACTCCTACACATACCCCCACAGACCCTATATACCCTCCCCAAGATTCCTACACATACTCCCCACAGACCCTGTACACCCACTCCCCAAGACCCTGACACACTCCCCACAGACCCTATACACCCGGGCTTTCCCAAGACTCCTACACATACTCCCCACAGACCCTATACACCCACTCCCCAAAACTCCTACACATACTCCCCCACAGACCCTATATACACCCATTCCCCAAGACTCCTACACATACACATACCCACAGACCCTATATACCCCCCTCCCCAAGACTCCTACACATACTCCCCACAGATCCTATACACCCGGGCTTCCCAAGACTCCTACACATACTCCCCACAGACCCTGTACACCCGCTCCCCAAGACTCCTACACATACTCCCCACAGACCCTATACACCCACTCCCCAAGATTCCTACACAAACTCCCCACAGACCCTATATACCCCTCCCCAAGACTCCTACACATACTCCCCACAGACCCTATATACCCCTCCCCAAGACTCCTACACATACTCCCCACAGACCCTATACACCATCCCCAAGACTCCTCCACATACTCCCCACAGACCTCTGTACACCCGGGCCGCCCCAAGACTCCTACACATACTCCCCACAGACCCTATACACCCACTCCCAAGATTCCTACACAAACTCCCCACAGACCCTATATACCCCTCCCCAAGACTCCTACACATACTCCCCACAGACCCTATACACCCGATCCCCAAGACTCCTACACATACTCCCCCACAGACCCTGTACACCCACTCTCAAGACCCTGACACATACTCCCACAGACCCTATACACCCACTCCCCAAGACTCTTACACATACTCCCCACAGACCCTATACACCCACTCCCCAAGACTCCTACACATACTCCCCACAGATCCTATACACCCAATCCCCAAGACTCCTACACATACTCCCCACAGACCCTGTACACCCACTCCCCAAGACCCTGACACATACTCCCCACAGACCCTATACACCCAATCCCCAAGACTCCTACACATACTCCCCACAGACCCTATACACCCACTCCCCAAGACTCCTACACATACTCCCCACAGACCCTATACATCCCTCCCCAAGATTCCTACACATACTCCCCACAGACCCTATATACCCACTCCCCAAGACTCCTACACATACTCCCCACAGACCCTATACACCCCTCCCCAAGATTCCTACACATACTCCCCACAGACCCTATACACCCAATCCCCAAGATTCCTACACATACTCCCCACAGACCCTATACACCCACTCTTCATGATTCCTACACATACTCCCCACAGACCCTGTACACTGCCTCCCCACAGACCCTATACACCCCCTCCCCAAGACTCCTACACATACTCCCCACAGACCCTATTCACCGCCTCCCCAAGATTCCTACACATACTCCCCACAGACCCTATACACCCACTCCCCATGATTCCTACACATACTCTCCACAGACCCTGTACACTGCCTCCCCACAGACCCTATACACCCCCTCCCCAAGACTCCTACACATACTCCCCACAGACCCTATTCACCGCCTCCCCAAGATTCCTACACATACTCCCCACAGACCATATAGACCCACTCCTCAAGACTCCTACACATACTCCCCACAGACCCCTACACATACTCCCCACAGACCCTGTACACTGCCTCCCCACAGACCCTGTACACCCACAGTTCCCCTACACCGGCCCTCACCCATGTTACCCCTACACCCACAGTTCCCCTACACACCGCCCTCACCCATGTTACCCCTACACCCACAGTTCCCCTACACCGGCCCTCACCCATGTTACCCCTACACCCACAGTTCCCCTACACCGGCCCTCACCCATGTTACCCCTACACCCACAGTACCCCTACACCGCCCCCACCCATGTTACCCCCTACACCCACAGTTCCCCTACACTGCCCCCACCCATGTTACCCCTACACCCACAGTTCCCCTACAATGGCCCTCACCCATGTTACCCCTACACCCACAGTTCCCCTACACCGGCCCTCACCCATGTTACCCCTACACCCACAGTTCCCCTACACCGGCCCTCACCCATGTTACTCCTACACCCACAGTACCCCTACACCGACCCTAACTCACGTTACCCCTACACCCACCACCCTGACAGTATCGACACCCACCTCCTCTCTGACTTGCTGCAACTGGTGCTCCTTGTGGTGTAGTTGCTGTTTCATGGTGGTCATCTCCCGGTCTTGAGACAGGAGCCGGATTTTCAAGTCTTTTACCGTCAGCTACAAACAAACATGAATACATAAAAACACTGATTAACAAGAACTCAACTAGCTTTTCCGTTTTTGGTTATGAAATCAGATTTCACTATTTCACAACTTGGGGACCGTTCATAGTTTATGGCTAGGGGGATGATGATGATTTTTATGGAGAAGCATGTACAATGTGAATGGCCCCCCCCCCCAAAAAAAAATAAAAAAATTATGTACAAAATAAGTGACACCCCCCTGCATGTCGTGTACAATATCAATGACCTCCCTCCCCTTTCCATAATTTTTAAAGCATAATTATAAACATATTTTTGTGTACAAAATTGCTGCCCCCTAGAATGTGTGTACAAAATTGCTGACCCCCTAGCTCCCAGAACAAAATGGTTGACCCCCTAAAATCACACCACCCCCACCACCCCCAAGCCATAAATTATGAACAGTCCCTTACAGATAAAAATCCTCTATCAAAATTTGTGTTTTAATTGCACCTGAGACAGAACAAATATACTTCTTATCAGGAGCACGAGACATTTTAAAGCATATTTCCATTTTTACTGATTTAATGTGCTACATTTGCTGACTTAATGTGACACAAGTCATTCTCTTCTAAGCTGGCATAACATGCTTAAATGTTTCTTCTAAGCGGCTGACATGTCATAAAAGTATGTTCTTGAGATGAGTCTCTACCTGGCTTGTCTAATCTGTAAACTGTCTGCAATGGATGTGTAAATGTGTAATAAGTCACTACTTGGTTGGTGTAAATGTGTAATAAGTCACTACTTGGTTGGGGTAAATGTGTAATAAGTCACTACTTGGCCGGTGTAAATGTGTAATAAGTCACTACTTGGTTGGGGTAAATGTGTAATAAGTCAATACTTGGCTGGGGTAAATGTGTAATAAGTCACTACTTGGCCGGTGTAAATGTGTAATAAGTCACTACTTGGCCGGTGTAAATGTGTAATAAGTCACTACTTGGGTGTAAATGTGTAATAAGTCACTACTTGGTTGGTGTAAATGTGTAATAAGTCACTACTTTGGTAAATGTGTAAATGTGTAATAAGTCATTACTTGGTTGGGGTAAATGTGTAATAAGTCACTACTTGGCTGGTGTAAATGTGTAATAAGTCACTACTTGGTTGGTGTAAATGTGTAATAAGTCATTACTTGGTCGGTGTAAATGTGTAACAAGTCACTACTTGGTTGGTGTAAATGTGTAACAAGTCACTACTTCTTGGCTGGTGGTGTAAATGTGTAATAAGTCACTACTTGGCGGTGTAAATGTGTTACAAGTCACTACTTGGTTGGTGTAAACTTGGTTGGTGTAAATGTGTAACAAGTCACCACTTGGCCAGTGTAAATGTGTAACAAGTCACTAAACTTTTCACGGTGTAAATGTGTACTTGGCTGGTGTGTGAAAGTCACTACTTGGCCAGTGTAAATGTGTAACAAGTCACTACTTGGTTGGTGTAAATGTGTAACAAGTCACTACTTGGTTGGGGTAAATGTGTAACAAGTCACTACTTGGTTGGTGTAAATGTGTAACAAGTCACTACTTGGCCAGTGTAAATGTGTAACAAGTCACTACTTGGCGGTGTAAATGTGTAATAAGTCACTACTTGGCTGGTGTAAATGTGTAATAAGTCACTACTTGGCCGGTGTAAATGTGTAACAAGTCACTACTTGGTTGGTGTAAATGTGTAATAAGTCACTACTTGGTTGGTGTAAATGTGTAACAAGTCACTACTTGGTTGGGGTAAATGTGTAATAAGTCACTACTTGGCTGGTGTAAATGTGTAACAAGTCACTACTTGGCCAGTGTAAATGTGTAACAAGTCACTACTTGGCCGGTGTAAATGTGTAACAAGTCACTACTTGGTTGGGGTAAATGTGTAATAAGTCACTACTTGGCGGTGTAAATGTGTAACAAGTCAATGTGTACTTCACCTTGGTGTAAATGTGTAACAAGTCACTACTTGGGCGGTGTAAATGTGTAACAAGTCAATACTTGGCCAGTGTAAATGTGTAACAAGTCACTACTTGGTTGGTGTAAATGTGTAACAAGTCACTACTTGATTGGGGTAAATGTGTAACAAGTCACTACTTGGTTGGTGTAAATGTGTAACAAGTCACTACTTGGCCAGTGTAAATGTGTAACAAGTCACTACTTGGCCGGTGTAAATGTGTAATAAGTCAATACTTGGAAGGTGTAAATGTGTAATAAGTCATTACTTGGCCGGTGTAAATGTGTAACAAGTCACTACTTGGTTGGTGTAAATGTGTAATAAGTCACTGCTTGGTTGGTGTAAATGTGTAACAAGTCACTACTTGGTTGGGGTAAATGTGTAATAAGTCATTACTTGACCGGTGTAAATGTGTAACAAGTCACTACTTGGCCAGTGTAAATGTGTAACAAGTCAATACTTGGCCGGTGTAAATGTGTAACAAGTCACTACTTGGTTGGGGTAAATGTGTAATAAGTCACTACATGGCCGGTGTAAATGTGTAACAAGTCACTACTTGGCCGGTGTAAATGTGTAACAAGTCACTACTTGGGCGGTGTAAATGTGTAACAAGTCAATACTTGGCCGGTGTAAATATGTAACAAGTCAATACTTGGCCGGTGTAAATGTGTAACAAGTCACTACTTGGCCGGTGTAAATGTGTAACAAGTCACTACTTGGCGGTGTAAATATGTAACAAGTCAATACTTGGCCGGTGTAAATGTGTAACAAGTCACTACTTGGCCGGTGTAAATGTGTAACAAGTCACTACTTGGCCAGTGTAAATGTGTAACAAGTCACTACTTGGCCAGTGTAAATGTGTAACAAGTCACTACTTGGCGGTGTAAATGTGTAACAAGTCACTACTTGGCCAGTGTAAATGTGTAACAAGTCACTACTTGGCCGGTGTAAATGTGTAATAAGTCAATACTTGGAAGGTGTAAATGTGTAATAAGTCATTACTTGGCCGGTGTAAATGTGTAACAAGTCACTACTTGGTTGGTGTAAATGTGTAATAAGTCACTGCTTGGTTGGTGTAAATGTGTAATAAGTCACTACTTGGTTGGGGTAAATGTGTAACAAGTCACTACTTGGCCGGTGTAAATGTGTAATAAGTCACTACTTGGCCGGTGTAAATGTGTAACAAGTCACTACTTGGTTGGTGTAAATGTGTAACAAGTCACTACTTGGCCGGTGTAAATGTGTAACAAGTCACTACTTGGCCGGTGTAAATGTGTAACAAGTCACTACTTGGCCAGTGTAAATGTGTAACAAGTCACTACTTGGCCGGTGTAAATGTGTAACAAGTCACTACTTGGTTGGTGTAAATGTGTAACAAGTCACTACTTGGCTGGTGTAAATGTGTAATAAGTCACTACTTGGCCGGTCGAATGTGTAACAAGTCACTACTTGGCCGGTGTAAATGTGTAACAAGTCACTACTTGGTTGGTGTAAATGTGTAACAAGTCACTACTTGGTTGGGTAAATGTGTAACAAGTCACTACTTGGCCGGTCGAATGTGTAACAAGTCACTACTTGGCCGGTGTAAATGTGTAACAAGTCACTACTTGGCCGGTGTAAATGTGTAACAAGTCACTACTTGGCCAGTGTAAATGTGTAACAAGTCACTACTTGGCCGGTGTAAATGTGTAACAAGTCACTACTTGGCCGGTGTAAGTGTGTAACAAGTCACTACTTGGCCGTGGTAAAAGTGTAACAAGTAATAAGACATACATCAGCCGATGCCTTGACCTGCTTGAGCTGTTTTTCAAACTTGGTCTGTAAGACTGCTTCCTCATTCACAATGTCTACCTCCTTCTGCATCAGCTGGGTCTCAGCTGATTTCAGTTTCCTCTCCATCTTCGAAAGTGACTTGATGCTATCAGACTCCATCAACTCCACCTGGGCCTGCGATAGTCAAATGGTCAAATCTGTACCCAGGAATAACACTATGACACTAAAAGTTTGATGAATTGTATTACCGTATTTGCCATATTCAGGTAAATAAATTTGCAGTGAAACAGCCTGGGAGCCATTCAGCAGGTGACACAGTTACTTACAACACTGACAAGACTAATGACATTGATGACATGACAAAAAAGTTCATTGTCTGAGAATGAAATTCCTAAATTGCTAAACTCTGACATCAGCTGTGACCATTGTTGTAATTTGAAAATAGCACATGAAAAGTTTGTTTTAGGATGCTTCATGCTATTTGGTCTCTACACACAAAAATACCTTGTGATAGCAAATGGCAATTAACAAACCATGGACGTATTTCTGTTGTTGATACAGATTTCAACAAAAATAGGAACAACATGAGGAAGTCAGAGAGTTTAACTTGTATGACAATAATGGTTGCAGATTGGTTTCCTTAGAACTTCACACTAAACAATTATTGAAAGGATCATGTTGGGTGATCACTTAGGGCACTGTGCATTAAATGACTGGCAGTACATGTTACCCTGATATGTCAATACGATTGTTATTTCCAGGTTATCTTAAAAGGAAATCACTGAGAAACCATATTGATTAAGGCTTTTAAAAAGTGCTTACCTAATGGAAATACTGCTAGCTATCACTCACCATGTCTAATGACCTATTATTGGAACAGTTCTAGCTTTATCAATGTTTACTAAGTTTACTTGTTCCCACGTGACTCCTGGTATCACGTGTGGTCCTAACAAGCCCACTTTTGATAATTATATACCAGGATGCCTATTATGGAATATACAGTAACATCTAAGAAGCGACTGTTTATCTTGAAAGTTATTGTGTACTACCATGTGCAAAATATTATCCTGTTCATTTGCCAATAAGGAACAATTACATGTATTGTTAGTAATTGTTAGTAAACTTACCTCTGGATTATGGTTGCCTTATTCCTGTGGATTCCACAGATACATACAGAATGGAAATGAAATTTTTAACTAAGTCATAGGTATCCCTAGTCGTATGCTTAAAGAGTTACGCGGTTATCTCCCTTAGGCTAGCTGTGACGTCACAACGTAGTTGTTGAAAACCTCTCATGATTTTTCTGAAGAAAACTGACATCTTCTGCATCTCCTCGTGGGGAGGTCGGGTGGGCACTAGATCCAATAATCCAACGGTAAGTTTACTAACAATTACTAACAATACATGTAATTGTTCCTAATTATAGGCGTAAACATTCCCTCTGGATTATGGTTGCCAGAATCTCACATAAGGAAGGAGGGTTTATACAGATGATGAATACAGCAATACCACTAAACTATGACTTAAGTGATGAAATGTAATATACATATGGATTACCTAGATCATTCCCTGGATATTTCAGTATTTAATTACCTAAAGGGAAAGATCATCCTTGTGAGGGAGAAGTATCTGGTGTTTGGAGAAGACTGTGACGTCACTTCTGGTCCCAGACGTCATATCCGGTTCTGTAATAGTCTATTGACTGATTCTCATTTTAACCGGTTTCTGTGACGTCACTTCCTGTTTGATTACGTCACTTCCGGTTCATTGACGTCACTTCCGGTTCATTGACGTCACTTCCGGTTCGTGACGTCACTTCCGGTTTGTGATTTCAAGTCTTCTTGTGGATTATTTAACTGGAGTAATAAATTGCAGCGGATATAATAATTCCAATTACTGGTGATAAACATTATTAGATACGGTTCTTCAAAGATCCTCATCCTTCCGTTTACTGTTAACCTGTTTCCTCCCTCACAGTCCAAAGACAGTGAACCACTGCTGAGTTTGGATATATATAAATATGCACCCACACCTCTTTTTCCCCTTCAAGGGAAAAAACAAGAGGAGGAGAGGCGCTGTCCGTAGGCTCTCTAAGGATGGAATGAGTTTCGCAAAAGCAAATTGGTGTGGGGATTAGAGATCTTCCACCGGCATGCAGCAACAATCTGATCTACTGAAATGGACCCCCAAGCTGCAAGTGACGACGTCCAGGCCCTGGTCTCATGCAGGGAAAACTATTCTTCACTAAGTTGGGGTCAAAATCCTGGTAAACAAGAAATTATTGTCTTCCTAAGCCAAGACGATATAATATTCAATCAAGAACTCCAAATCAACAATTGTCTTGCATGAGATAATAAAACAAAACAAAGCACAAAACAAACAAACAGCAGCAACTATGTCTGATATTGAGAGCATGCTGGATATACCTTCTCAGAGCTCGAATAGGGCATAGGAGTCTAGTTCTGTCTGATCTAGAGGCAGAGGTAGGGAATACTTGAATCTGGTATACTCTGTGGCTGAGAGACCGCCAGCAGAAGCCTGATTCTTGGCAAGAACAAACTGGTTAAGTTCTACATGACAGCCATCTAGAGCCTCCTGTAAAGGTGATTGACTAAAGTCTATGGCCAAAAATTCTGGAGCTGGAAGCTGTAGCAATGTAGCAATGACAAGTAGAAAACCCACCTTTTATGGAGAAGAAATAAAAATAAATTTCCTACATAGGTTTGGAAGACTTCTGGAGAGACTACAGAATTAAACATAAAGCCAACTTGGGGAAGATTGTAGGACTAGGAGCTGAAAATAATAATAATAATAAATAAATAAATTCTTAACTGGAATGAACTAATCGGCTTGTAGAGCAAGCTGTTAGAACCACTGCTAGTCCTTGTATATCTCAAACAGAAGCGATTGCTGATCTGTAGTCCACCATAGTACTGTGTTTCAGTGTCTTAACGTCACTGAGAAAAAGTAGAAATCCACTAAGAATCGTTGAGATAGACCTGAATCTGAATTCCCATCAACATAAAACATTGTAGGAGCGATATCATAACAATGAAAAATATCCAGAAATTGTTGAAACAATTTCCTCATTGGATTGTTCTGGAAGATTCGTATCTCCAGTCAAGAGGTGAGATGGTACTATAGCTGCCGAATGGTCTAACACAATCACTCGAGTGTGATTGGCATCGGAAAACTGCCTGAAAAACGACATCCAAAAAGGAGTGGGCAAGCATCCTTCGTGGGCTGACATGACCACCATGGAATCTTGATGAATTGCCATATAATCCTCAAAACCTGGGTGAGGAAGCTACCCGATTCCCAAGACAAGGCAACTGCCGTGATGAAAAGATATCGATCTAGTATGCACAGTCGAAAACCTAAAACTCCCTAGGACTAGGAGTAACGTGACGTAAATAAGAACGAAATTTTTGGATAATTTCGAGGATAGGTGTGAGAAATCCCTATCAATTTGAAGCACTGGCGAGGAAAAAACAACCCCTTCCTATCCAGGTTGACATTGGCTTGTCTATCCATACCCCTAGCCAAGGATGCTAAGCCTTCGTATTTGCAATATCATGACTGAATTGTCCAGCCACTTGTACAGTGAACACAGACATGAAAGCACGGAATAATTTCCCACATGGTGCATAAAACGCTTACAGCGCATCTCCAATGGCGCGTCATATTTTTCAAAGAACGTACCTTCATAGAAAAAGATATTACAATTCAACGAGCCGTTGATTAAACCCATGATTAAACTCATGTCCCCCCGTAACACTCTAAAACCTAACAACACGATGCTTACGGCGTCCATTTACAATGTATTAGCTCTCTGCCAATCAGCGTCATTCATTCCGCAGTAAATACTATTTATCAGCCAATGCAAAAATTCGTTACATTTTAGCTTACACAATGTCTAAGCTGGTTCCCAAGCTGGTTTCCGGCTCCCTTTGCGCTCGCAAACTTGCGCCACCTTGCGTATATTGCGATAAGCGAGATGAGGCCCAGCGTAACACATGGTCGCAAAGCATCACAGAAGTTGGTAGACCAAACAGAAGATGCCATTAGCGTGGTTAGGGAGATGAGGGTGATGAAAAAGTAAACTAACGACGGAATACACCTTCCAAGATCCGTCAGAAGCAGAGGGATAATAGGCACTTGTTAGAACAATAAATGTGCCCTATAACACGCCTTTTCCAGGTACAAGGCACATGCTCAAGGTGTTGACATGTTACCTTTTATTAACCCTGAAAACCCATGCTGCCAAGAGGTGCGAGAAAATTGAATAGCCACATGAATTATCCCACCAGGTACCCATGTACCCTGCTTGGTTATATTGAGGCAATTTGAATAAACTCACTTGCCTGTATTCAGTGACTGGATATCAGTCTTGTTTCCAACCTAACGGTATATCGCCCGTGCCTCCCATTGAGCGCTCAGCTGACAGTGCATTCTGGCAAGAAAATGCACGTGTCATCCCCTTATCTGATTCATTCACCCGGTCGTCACCTGGTCCGACTCGTGCTACCTGAACAGCTGTAACCTCGTGGGACAGCAGATTGATTTGAACCGTGGCCTCGAATATAGCCGTGGTGTTTCTAATTCAGTAATAGTAATAATAATAATATTACTGAAGGTTATATATCGCGAAATCCAACCACAAGTGGATGCTCAAGCGCTACAAGTGAGGTTGAGTTAATAGTACAATGAAAGAGATGCGTTGAAAGATGTGATCTGAACGCAATAAAACATGGAAACAGTTTATAGCGAGGAACAGTCTATTCCACAGCAATGGCGCGCAACCACTGAAAGAACACTCGCAATAAGAGGCCAAGGCAGTCTGTAAGAAGGAATACTAAATAAGAATTGCTTCCAAATCGTAGTTGTCTGGGTGGTTGAAACGGGTTAGCCATTCACTTATATGATAGATATTTTGGTGCCATGCCATTTAGACTCTTGTATGTGATACAGAGTACCTTAAACAACTGTACCGGGTTGTTTGGAAGCCGTGGCCGTAGGTAGATTCCAATGGAACGGATGAAAAACCGAAGTAGTAGACGAAGTAATAGGACCAGATGACGAAAATGTATATCATTGTTTACCACGCCAAGTGGAACAGATTGTTGAGTGGAGACGAGATCGACAACTACCTAGCTCAGAGTTGTCGTAGGCTC